TATTTATTTTATTCTTTTTTATTTATTTTTTATTTTATTTATTTTATTTTATATTTATTTATTTTATTCTTCTTCTTTTATCTTTATATCTATTATATATTTCTTATTTTATTATTTATGTTATATTCTTATATCATTTTATTCTTATTTTATATTTATTCATTATTATTCATTTCATATTAACAATGATAAATATCAATACAACATATAATAAATAAATGATATAAGATAAACAACAATAAATAATAATAATAATAAAATATAAACAAACAATATAAACAAATATAAAATGATAAAATCAAATATAATAAATAAAAGAATAATAATGGTTATATCTTATTTTATTATTATATTCTTCTTTATATTCTCTTATATTATTTTATTACTTATTTTCAATTATAAATAATATATTTATATTAAATATTATAATTTATTTATATTTAATAAATGATGAATTATTATGATTATTCTTTATTCTATTGTTTTATTTCATTCTTTATTTATCAATTACATTTATTAATTTAATAAAAATTATAATATGTGAAATAGAATGTTTTGATAAAATGGTACTTGTTTATGACATTCATTCATGTAAATAACTTTCATCAATTTCTTATCATTTTACATTAATTATCATCTCATCAAAACTAATCATTAATTTAGATTGAATGTCATTACAAAATGATAAAATAATATAAATACTAACAATTCATTATAACTATGATTTATTCTTTGTATATAATAAACAAGATATTACAATATCTGTGAATTAAGAATATATCTTAAATGTTAATCAATTCAATTGTCAATGATATCAATGTTTTTCATCTTTAATAAACCATTTGTGAATTAGTAATTAATAATTCAGAATTAACACATTACATTTATTAAAGTCATTAATTCAATTTCTTTGTTTATTTTTTCATTTAATTGGTTATTTATCTTCTTTCTTAATATATTCAATACATTGTATTAAGTAATGATAAACCATCATATTAATATTTGTTTATTTTTCATGTTAAATAAA